TATAAAAAAAGAATCATGCTAAATACTTTATTTTCATAAAGAAAGGCTGGCCTTGGCAGACAACAGTGAATGATGGAGGTTTACATTTACAGCATCTCAACTGCTTAATGGCTTTTCAGTCCCTAACTTAGTTCTGAAATTTTTAATAGAATAGACTCTATATATTAATTGCCACTAAACAAACATAAGGCACCTTTTCATCCAACCTCTCACTATAGAGCAACAGCACACACCTCAGTGGGTTTACATCAGTTTTCTCCTGAAATCAGGAAACACAGTCCAGTTATCAATGTTTTCCCTCAGCCCTTCTCCTCTTTCCATATGACATTTTATCCACTTTTTAATTTTTATAAGGATAGTTCTCCTAGTAAGAGTTCTGTGGAACCCAAAGGCTTGTGTAATTGAATTAACAGGTTTATAGAAAATCAGTTATAGCCAAAATTGCAAAGGTGGGCGTGTGGAAAGAAGGAATATTTCAGCAAGATGCAGCCCATTATGTAAATTTGTCACCACATGCCATACATAATGAATAAACCTTGTGCTCTTAACACTTTGATTATAGACTATACAGACAATGCAAATTAAAATTCCTGCTGCTCTATAAATGAAATGAGAGGAAATTATGTAAATTTTAACACATTAGATTGATTTGGTTGAAACAAAACCTGTTCCACTTGATGTTTTAGGGGAAGAGCCACAATTACAATGATTGAAAAAGTGCAGTGTTAATGAAGTGTGTTATTGCTAATCAATGCCTCCTCCTCTGGTAATGGCCCGGGCCCTGTCACTGCATCACCCCCTGCCCATGGAACCAGCACAGCCACAGAGCCCAGATAGCTCCAGGTAAGGCTTCCAGAAACTCCTGTTCACATCAGAGAACTCACAGAAAAACTGGGATACACCTTCAGGAAGGAAGGATTCATATGGAATCATAGCACATATAGAATCGTAGAATGACAGAATGGGTTGGGTAGGAAGGGACTTAAAAGCTCACCCAGTGCCACCAACTACCATGGGCAGGGACACCTTCCACCAGCCCAGGTTGCTCCAAGCCCCATCCAACCTGGCCTTGGACACTTCCAGGGATCCAGGGGCAGCCACAGCTTCTCTGGGCAACCTGGGCCAGGGCCTCCCCACCCTCACAGGGAGGAATTTCTTCCACATATCTAATCTCTCTCTATATACACACACAGACAACCTGTGTGTCGTTATGTGTATATACACACACACACATCTAGAAAACTTTTTGACAATACTACCTGTCTGCCTTGAATGCTGCTGTAAATACCAAGAAACTTCCCTTTGAGTTAAATAATGCCCTTTGTGCTGCTTGACTTCTTGGAAAACCCAGAATGAGTTTGTCACGTGGTAATAAACTGACCATGTTTAGTTCATTGATATTAAAAACAAGGTCTCTCGAGCTTAAAAGTTTCATGTCCAAATTAAAGAAACTGAAAAATCAGACCCAGCGGTTTCAAAAGTTTCACATGAACAATGTGTTCTTCCAGTAACAGTTACCTGGCTTTCATGGCAGGAATATGGAATGTCTTTAAAACTGAGTCTAGTTGATTTAATTCTGTAACCTTACTGAAAGCAACTTCAGTGTACAGAGCTGATAGAATTCTACAGTCAATTAATATATGAACATTATACCTTCTTTATACAAAGCAGAGGAACATGTTTCTCCAAGCATCCTGCCACCATTTGAAACACAATACACTCACCAGTGAGTTGCAAAATACCACACTCTTAACTATTTACTGTTATATAAAATAATTTTTTGTCCCAGTTTTGCATTTTGCAGCCCATTTATTCTCTAAGAATTTCCATCCCATTTTTAAAGAAAAATTTTCATTTGTAAAAGGATCTGCAGCATCAGAAATTTGTGACACTTATTTCCCAGGCAAATCTGAACAGGTGGGATGAGCCAACCTACTTTATTTTCTTTTTATTTACATAATTTTTATATCATTCTCGGAAACATTTGTTGTCACATGTAGTGACTGCATTTGTTTCCTGTCTCTCCTGACTTGTCTCCCACTAATTTATTTTAGTTCCTGCTAAGAAATGAGGAAGCACTCGGCGCAGAGACATCTCACTGCCTTCAGTAGCAGCTGCACACCCAGGACTGGGGCAGGTTGGGAACACAACACACAAAATCGGGACAGCGCAGGCAATGAGAGCTTTCATGCAGAAATGACGTCGCAGATAAACGTACAACACACACATCGAGACTGGCACTTACCACAAGAAATTTTAGTATACTACGTTTGATCCATGAACAAAGAAAAAAGAAGGGTCAGGCCCCAGCTGTGAGAGAAAATTTGACAGCCCGAAAAAAGAAAATGCTAGAATAAAAATAAAAGGGAAAGATGCAAAGGAATTCATCTTTCCTAGAAATAAAGGAACATGTACTTTTGCAGGCTGAGGATCCATTCTGGTCTCAGCGCACTCTCCTCTGCTGTGGTTTTAAAAATGCCAATCCATTTTTGGGTCATTAATTCTGAACTAACGGGGCTGCTGCCGATGGCACAGAGTGGGACTGACCACGGGCTGCCCGAATTTATCCCGGCTCTTGGCTGGGGCTGCTGGAGGAATGAGCGCTGGGCTCCCTCCCCCGCAAAGGGGGCACAGACTAATTGTACCACGCTAATTAGAATCTCAAAGCATGACGTGGTCAAAGAGCCACTTAGGACTTGGCAAACAGAGATTTGCAAACCAAAATAGAAAACATCACCTAAAACCGAGAAACAGGAAAACCAATGTTAACTAAGAGAACGCAAAAGAGTAGGAGTTAAGCATTTCAGTTTGCAGGATTTGGTACAGATGTTTTCTTACATAAAACAGACATAAAGAATCACAGTGGTAAATGTCTCACCCCACAGGAGTCACCTTAATTTCCAGCTCGCAAAACTCCTAGAAAACTGAATCTCTCCACACCACCTTTTGCTTGAATTCTTTGGCTTCAGACTGCTTTGTTTATAGGAAAAGGCTCTCTTTGATGTTGGAATAGTAGGAGCGAAACAATGAATTTCCCATATTCTAATATCCAGGTATCCCGAGTTTGTTCAAGGACCCCTTGATTCACGAAGGCAGATAATTAAATTACCTGAGCTTTGATCAAGGAGTCGCTGCAGTCCCTTTTTGATGTAGAACGTGGCTGTTTGAAGCTCCAGACAGATAACTAGCCCATATGGGGTTTAACCCTTTTGTCACTAGTAGCAGACTTCATGCCATGTTCTGGCATTCCAAAGGGAGCAGTTCTGGCATTCCAAAGGGAGCACCACAGCAATCCTTTGGGAATGCTGCTCCAATAGGAGCACAATAGGGATAGTAGATCCAATAGGATCCCTATACCACACACTTGATGGGATGTTTATTGAAAGGCTGAAACTCTCCCTCCCAAACAAACTGAAATTATTTTCCAGTCAACTTAACTTGTTTTAAAACCATGCTTTGGAAGCCGCTCTTTAGATGACATGACATTGAGATGTGTTAAAACACTTCTGAGAAGCAAAGGGGTTTGTCCTCACAATACAAGAATTTCCATCGTCTATGCTTTCCAGCTATTTTCCCCCAAAGAGATGTGACTGGGCACATTCTCCTCTAGTCATCTGAAAGAACACTCTTAAAATAGGAAGAACAAAAGCCTTCCCTCTCCCATCAAATGCAAGCACCTGGTGAAGCCATTCTTGCCTGACCAGCCAAAGCCTGCAGGATGGTACACAGACTAGGAAACACTCTACTCTCAGCTGATTTGCCATTCTGAATATTATTTCTGAAAGAATTCCTCTCCATAAATGAGGAATTATGCTCCTCTTCATTCATTCTAGGATTCTTTTGGGACACGAGGAGGTTACTAAAAGGACATAATTAGAACACATAATTAATATATAGCAATCTCTTACTCAGTTCCCTACACAGCTCCAACAACACAGGCATATAGGTACCCCTAATTTTAGTAGTTCCATGGATTATGGAAATGACCTCACTAGACTACTGAGAAGTGGGAAAAGCAGTTTTGCAGCAGGACTTTTTCTGGCATCATTCACAGTAGAAAGACATCTGTCCTTCAAGGCGCAGCTGTGCAAAGGGTTCCTGTCATGCACTGACATCTCAGTTCACAAGGATACAGGCTTGAAAAAGCATAATGAATATGCTTGGATTCCCCTAGATAACAGAAATTACTTTGGGGCATGAGGATGCACAGAGAAATTCACGTATTTACATTTAAAATGCTTGATATGTTATTAAAAAGTTGGTTTGTTTCTGATCCATTGGAAAATAAAACTTGGTGCCTTTTATGAAGCCCAAGGGGGAAATGTGTATAACGAATCAGTAAGAATGAGAAATGAAGTTAATGTGTATACAATTTTATGCTTTTTCCATTAAGTCACAGGAGCTGCACATACAACTAACATGTGAAACAAGAAGCCTTCACATTTAAGTAAACACGCCTTGTAACATTCCTGAAACGTGTTAAAGGAGGAACTGCTGATCTCAAATTCAAGAAGCAATTAGCATTCATTAACTCAAAGCAATAAACTGCCCAAGGCATTTATGGGTTAAACATAGTCTACTTTAAAGCACACAGAAACACTTAAAACACAAGCTTTTCTGCAGTCATTTTGAATGATTTCATTTCTAGTAAAAATGGATGTAATTTCCAGATGGGATACACCTCTAGGCAAAACAAACTTTTCTCCTCCAGTGGGCAAATGATTTAATACCAATGGAAAAGTCTTTTGTACACATTATTAATTTAATTTACATTATTTTCTTAATAAAGTATCAATGACCTTCTGTAACTTTTTTACAAATTAAAAGTAAATAGAAATTGAAAGTGCCATGTTTAGTAGCTCTCACATTGTGTATGACTTTCAAGAGATAACTTGCTGGTCCTTTGTTTTTGAAGGGAAATATCATAAAGGAAGGAGCAGGATTTTACAGCTACATGACCAAAATACAGAATTGCACCCAGTCTGTTAGTAATCTGACACATGTGGACAATCCGATCCAAGTCTGCAGCAGAGGATGGCCCTCAGAACCTCATGAAGGCAGCAATTACAGGAGCTCACTTCCTGACCTCCAGCTCATCAGAAAAAAGCCAAGGTCACAACAGTGAGCAACTGTCAAATGCTGGTAAGATCAGAGCTGGCACTTTCTCTCTAGACTTCATTATTTCAGCCCAGCTCATTTCTTGTTCAATTTGACCAGATAATTAAACAAATATTAGTGCAATTTTGTACATATGATGGTGCACTGAGAGCATTCCTGACTCTAGTAGGACCAAAACCTGGCTGAGCCCTGGAATACACAGCTCCAGCTAAACTCCAGCTGCACACACGCATTGGTGGAACCACCAACTCTGCTTGCAATGCCCACATCAAGGATGCTGACCAAAAATCCCAATGTCAGTGAACAACCCCCTGGACTCCAATACAGTTTCTCTGTTTTATATCAGGTTCACTAGTCTGAATTTTACCCAGTAAAGAGCAAACATCAGAGAAGCTGTTTAAACTCGCCTGCTCATAGAACTCATTAAAAAAGACTGCTAAGGACAATAATAAAGTTCTGAGCTTATATTAAATAAAGTGGACATTGCCCTGGCCTTCCCAAAGTACGAATACACATTGAAGGGCACAATAAGATGGAATTCAATGTCAAGTCCCTACCATGCAAAATGAATTAACAATTTGACTTTTGACTTTTGATTTTCCTCATGTGTTCTGACTGCTCCTTTAAAGCCCAAACCAGCAACCACTTACTAATCTGTGATGCTCTAGAATGACAGTGCATCACTGCGGCCCAGGGTGACTCCTTGTGCTGCCTTTTTCTACGGAGTTCATCATGTCCTAGTTCCATATGACATCTGCATATTGTGTGTAAATAGTCTAGTGAGGCTGTAGGGCTGGTTTCCATTTCTCCTGTCATGAGAGCGCTCAAGTATTTCTCAGATCACACCACTGCTGCCTTATATAAATGTGGAGTTTTCTTTGTTATGAAGAATTATTGAAGTCATTGAACATACTGAGAATTAATTTTATCATATTTAACTGCTCCCAGCACCTTGACATGTACCGAGACAAATGCACAGAAAAATAAGGCTCTTGCTAATCCAGAAAACTAATTAATGTGTGTAGAAGGTCACTGGACAAGCTTGTAGTGAGGGGTATGATTATACTGCAGGCTGGGAATGGGAAACCCTTGTTTAAATCAGGTCAAAGGAGAAGGCAAGTTTTGGATCAGATTGACCCCCAGAAGAATTGAAGATTGAATCCCAGAAGAATGTCTCCACATTTGAGGTAAGTGGTGATGGCTGAGTAAAGCAGAACTATGAAAACAAAAAGGAAGGCCACAAGATCCACTGTACCTGATAAAGGTGAGGTTCTGAGAGGACAGGGCAAAGTTACATCGAAAAGTGGGAGACTTTGAAGGTGAAACATTCACTAAATATCAGATTTTGTGCTGTAGAGGGAGAGGAGGATCCAACGAACTGGGGGCAGGAAAGATCATCACACACAGCCAAGTGTGAACTCCAGATGGCGATGCAGGAACCTGAAAGGCCAAGGGCCAAGTCTAGGGCACAGGAAAGGCTCCAAGGGCACAGAGACAGCAGCCTTAACTATTGTCCCTGGGTTATTCTAACCCGGATCCTGCAGATTCCCCAGTTAGCTCTGAAGTTTTCAAATCAACTTTGTGCGGGGCAGTGGGCTGTGAACTGCAGGGCAGGATTGGGAAACACTGAGGAAGGGATCATCTCAAACTAGTTTCACTTACAGGGGTATAAGCAGAGCACCACAGAAAACCATTTACTGGAGATCTCAGAGGATTTTTAAACTTGGTACTTGAAACATGAGTATAATTAATCTATGAACAGATTTTTTTTCATATAAATATAATATTGCAAAATTCACAATTTTAAGGACAGAAAGAACTCTTGTGACCTCTCCGTCTGACCCACAGTCACATACGTTGCTACCTAATCAGCCCTTTTTCATGTAAATGGTAAACTGTTTGCATTCAAATGCTACTGCCTGCTATGTTTTCTTCTTGCTGTAGAGAAAAGAAATGCTATGGAAATTGCCACCGTGCTAAAAGAATTGAAATGCATACTAATCAGCCATATTCTCCCAGCTATACCAGCTATAATTGGAACAGTAACAAATAAAAAGGCAAAAATCAGCACTGGACAAAATTTTCTGTTTGAATCAGAGCCCCAAATAAAATTATTATTCAATTGCTTTTCAAAATTTTGGAGCTCCCTATGTCTGGAGAAATTGGATTTGAAACTGTGAATGAACAGTGGCTTTCACTAATGTGAAATATTGAAGATCTTCACTGGAATTTCAATTGCAAGAAAAATATACTGAAAGAGCACAGGAAGGGGATGTTAAAATGAAAAATAGCTTTGCAGTGTGTGCATGGGATAAATGTCGGAGTCATCTCAGTCCCACCAGCCTGGTGATCTCTATGGGTCATGCAAAGTGGAATGGGGGGGTTGTTCTCTGCTCTGTACAGACTGGATTAACCTGGCAGCATTGAACTGCTTTAATATTGCTCAGGCCTGGGAAGAGCTCACAGTCATCTCTGCCCTGGACACAAAGCACCCTGAGAGGAAGAAAGGCACTAGAACCTTGTGCTGATGATCAGCATGTCCTGAAGATCAACATGAAGTGAGTGATGCTCAGAAATCCCAACATCAGTGTGTGGCCAAGTCTGCTGCAGGGAGGATGGACTGTTGGGGGCCCTGCTCTGAAAAGGACAATGTTGGATCCTAAAATTGGATCCTAAAACTTTAGATGTGTTTTCTAGTTCCAATGAGACCAGTCTTTTGTTTTGTAAATGCTATTCAAATCCTGTATTTACCTCAGGATATCTCTCAGAAAAAAGTAAATTATTCCCAAAAATTGGGGATAAATTTTTTGATGCCCTTTTTCCCCCAACAGTTTAAAGGTTGCAATGTTGCTTCAATTAAAATTTTCCCATAATATGAATGAAAATATACATAAATGTTCACAAAGTCCACATAAGTTGTAGGCAGGTATGTAATGTTATTTCTAAAAACGTCTGAGAATCCTCATCTAGAGGCTGGTATAGTTACAGGTATTTTTGAAAACACATTTATTTTTGGTTCAAATGCCAGTCAACTCTGCACAAACTCTATTTCTTTTGTTTGCCTTACAATGTCTGCATACAAAAAAAAAAATAAAAACTTAGTTGATAAAAGATGAAAGCAGTAACACAGTCATTCACTCAGCAGCCAAGATCTTTGAGATAATTACTTTAAATCAAGAAGGGACAGACCATTTAAATTTATGACTTAATGCCGACACATGCATGTATTAATAAAACAGTTAGCATTAATGGAAATAGGGTTTAGTCTCCTGACTCAAATAGAGCCATCATTTCTGCTTTATACTGAACTAATGACTTATCCTTGGCAGAATGATATGTATGCATGTATTTAACTATTTAACTTAACCACTGAGACCAATTAATATGTTTCTGAAGTTTTATTTTATTTAAAAATATATATCAGTAGCCTCGCTGGGATAAAAATTATGTTGAACCAGAGTTTATATGGCAGCAGTTTAACTTTAAATTTAACTCTTTCACTTGGACTGTCTCATGATTGCACTGTATAAAATGAAGAGCGCTAAAATGTGGGGCAGGAGAAGCAGCTCTTGTGGGATTGGCATCAAGTTAAGGCATTTTTTAGCTTCCCAAGCTGGCACAGACTGTGTGTGATTAGGAGCTCACGTGAAAAGAGATGGTGGGTGCAAGAGGGCACACCAGAAATTTAATGTCTAGTGCACCATGCAAAGGTAAGAAGCTAAATGTGTAGCTCACAAACTCAGAGATTGTGTGTATTGTGTTTTAAAGGGTTATTGAATATAATTCTTAAAGGGTTATGGAATATAATTCCTTCTGCTCATCACTCTGGTTTTCACCTGTGGGGGCTTACTGGAGCAGTGTCAGACTGTACCAACATCATCAAATGAGACCTTAATTGCAATTACTGCCTAGATGGGCATTTCCTACAGCTGGCAGTCATGTACCAAAGCTCTGTTCAGTTTTGTCTGCTTTAGAAAACTCCAGGACCCACAACTGCATTTGATGTCAGTGTATCTGTAATGTGGCTACAGTCTACCTGTTGATGAAGTATTAAATAGCCATTATAATAATGAATTATATTTGGAAACCTGTTGCTGCACAGTTCACCAATCACTTCAGAAAATCCTGGCTCCTCTTTTACATTCAGTTACTTGGTCTTTTTCTTTTAATCCATTTACATTGATTTCTACTACTCCAACTCTGCCTGCCATTGCATTACAATTAAGAATTCTGATGAACTCTTGCTGATTCAGAAGGGAGAGGGCTCTTACTCACTGCCAGATTTTGGAGGAAAAAAAAGCCACACAAGACCCACTTAGAATTTGCTTAAGGCAGCACTTTAAAATTGAGGAGCTAAATTATGGCTCACGGAGCCAACAGATCCAGTGGGACTAGGATCCATGAGAGCCACCACAGCACCCCAGCAGTTATGGAAGGAGACCTTGAGCCTTTGTCAGGCAAAATGAGCCATGACATCACCTTCCCCAGGGCACTGCTCAGCAGCAGCACTGGCTGCTCCACAGATTTGTCTCTGGATTCCTGGTGGTTTGCAAGGCACTGCTGATGTCCCAGCCACGAGGGATGTTCTCTGGAGGGCTCTGAACAGCTCTGGCAACTCTAACTCTACACCCACCTTGAGCACATGGGATGGCTGAAGGCACATTCCCTGCCTTGCAGCAGAGGATGGGCAGTTATTGGGTCTCTTTGCAACACAGTGCTGAGCCCCTTTCCCTGTGCAGTAGCTACTAACTCTCACCAGGAGTTGTTACTCTGAGATAATTCTTAATTAATATCTTATATCAGACAGCTGTACAGCTGTTGTGGCACTGTCTTGCCTGGTTTGGGCATCAAAGCTGTAGGCAAGGATTTTGATTAGATGCATTGGTTTATCTGGCTGCATCTCTGCTCATAATAATGCAATTTACAAAGTTCTGCGCTCATTACTCATGGTATAGAGTTCTTATACACAGGAGTTTGGTTGGTCTGTGAGTCAAATCAAAGATCTATGTAGCCCAAAATTCTGCCTTTAGCAACACTCAAAGTGATGTCAAGGGAAGAACATCAGAAGAGTGCAAGTGGAATGAACCTCCTTCCGTGCCTGCAACCTCTCAAAACCTTTATTATCATGTATGTCCTTGTTCATCAGGATCCAGGCCAGGTTTGACGGGGTTTGGAGCAACCTGGTCTAGCGAAAGAAGACCAGACAGAAGTTGGAACCTTCCAATCCAAACAATTCTGTGATTCTATGATTTGCAATCGTGACTTGTAACAACACGTTTTATATCCCAAGGTGCTGTAGGATATGCAGAAATGATTTGGCCCAGTCTCCTTTACTCAGTTCTTCAGCTGTAAGCTCCACTGACCTGGTTGTGTACAGATAAAATTAGACCAATATGACCTAATTTATAATTTTTCTTTTCCTATCAAGGATGTCTTTATAAGATCTCTCAAACTTGATAACCTCTTTGAAAGAGATATATTTTGTTTCACCGTATCATTTTTTTTCATCTTTAAACCGTTGGCATTGCAGGAAACACGACATTGCCTTTGAAAAGGGAAGAAAGGGAGAGCCAACCCCTTAAAGAGCTGCTATTTTACACCCACGCTCCGGCTGTGGAGTCAGCTTGTCTCCAGACAAGGATCTCAAAACTTCGCAAGGCTGTAACGCGATCCAGCGGCTCGAGAGCTGCTAATCCCGGCCGAGTGCCGGAGCATCGGCCCGGAACGCGGCGGGGCTGGTCCCGCATCCCCCGGGATGCTACGCCGGGAACAGCCCGGCGCTCTCCGGGGCCGGGCGCGGAGCAGCTGCTGCCCTCTAGTGCGCCGCGCCGCAGCCGCACGGACCCCCGCAGCCCGCACGGCAGCAGCGCTCCGCACAGCCCCGGGCACCGCCCGCACAGCTCTCACATTGTCTCCCGGCCTCCGCCCGCCCCCTGCTCCTGCATCGCTCCGGCTCCACAGCCCCTCGGCCCCGCACCGCCCCTGTCCCGCAACACCCCCGCCCCGCAGAGCCCCAGGGGCAGATCCCCTCCCCTCCCGCAGGAACGAAATGGCCCAGAGTCCCTCCTGCCGCTAATGAAGGGGTTTGATTGTTCGGCACGTGCACTCCGAGGGATCGATAATTTCCCAGTCTAAGAGCCCTCAGCGTCAAAACTCAAACACAGCTCTGCTGCATTTTCTCCCAAAATACTGTAAGAGTTTCAGTCTATGTCTAGTATTTACCGAAGCATATGACTACAGCGTTCCTTAACTGATATGTATGACAAAAATATAAATGACAAAAAATATATACGGCATAAAATGACCACAGTGAAGTGTAAAGTCCTCCTAATTCACACAGACAAAGCACCCGATCCAATCTCCATTTAAATCAATGGCCATCTTGTAATTTCTTTCCCTAAGCTTTAGGTTGGCCCCAACAAAGAAACAATGAAAACTGAAGGGCCATTAAAAAATAAAAATGGGTATGGCATAGGAAATTATACACAGATTTTTAGCTTAAAATGCTGCTAGGAAAACTCAGACACACAAAAAAAGTCTAGGAAGAATGTTGCTAAACTGTTCCACATTAATTGATTCCAGATGAGACCTCTGTTCCTCACACACTGAAGATATTTGACTAAACATCCAGCTCACAAAATGGATTCAGGACTGGTTTAAGGAGTTCACCAAAAAGAAGAGACGCTGGTTTTAAGTTTGAAATTACTTTTAAATTTCTATGATGTCTGAGCTAGAAATAGCTTCTATTGTGGAATTCCAGCAATAAAACATTCGTTTGTCAAGTTATGCTTTGTTGGATTACAGCATTTGCAGAAAACAAAAATGTTAGTCTACTGTAACTCTGAATTTCACATATGTTTCTTACACTAAATTAAATATGTCAGATGTTGTCAGAATAGCTTATTAATTGAAGCTGAAATCACATTGTTTACTTTAAAGCATTTTATCTGACAAATCACTGAAATCATTCCAATCTTTGTAGTTTTCCCGTATTGTTATGCAAAATAAAAATTAATTTAGCTGTCCTATCTCTCAATCAACCATTTCCATACATATTTTCTTCTGAAACTGCTGCTGCTAAATCGCAGTGACTTGTCTCCTGACATGTCCTATTGCAGGAGTGTTTCTGGTAATGAAGTAATCTAGTTCCTACAGATTTTTTTTGACAGTCAACACTTACAATTGTAGCAAAGTTAAAGCTGATGTAGAGAAGCCTATAAATAGCATTCTCTCTCCATGTTCATTTTATGATGCTCTAGTGCAGGGCTGAGGTGGAAAAAAAATTGAAAAATTAAATATTCTATTCCAGGGCCCAAGAACAGCAGAATAAAGACATTCTTTAGGTAAAATTTTCCTAAAGAATTGCTAATTATTTTATTGAAGCTCTTGTTCTTAGTTCTGTAACTTTATTTTGTTCTCCTCCAAGAGGAAGGAGAACTGCCTTTGAAGTAGAGAGAAACTTCTGTTTCTAGAGCATAGTAGACTGAGAAATGTGCTGAAAGAATGACTTGTGTGTTAAGGTATGAAGCTCAAACCAGACCTTCTGCTCCCAATTCCCCCCCGTTCTTGCTGCCCATCTCCCAGACACGAACTGAGCTGCTCTGCCATGAAACTACTGCTCATGAGCAAACATCTGCAATTCCACTTCCACAGACTTGTAATATGTCTCCTTATAAAATCATTCAAAGGACTGAGCACAGGCATCGATTTGTGCTCCAAATCTCAGCAGACAGACCTGGTTGAGGCACATGTCAGATTAATTATTGCAGAACTTCTGCACTGAAAGCCTATTTATTTATGGGTATCCTTTAGCCAATGCAGAAAAAGAGAACAAAGTATTTACCCGGAGAATCACCCAGACTTTGGAAACATTGAAGCAGATGGAAAAGCAAGGGAGGGGGAAAAGGGATAGACATTCAGCAGTGCCTGGCTTCATGCTTCCTTGATAGAGCTTCCATTCAACAGTTCCATTATTAAATAATTAAAAACATTTAATTCCTTAATAGAGAGCATGGAGTCTGTGAAAATCTTATTGTATCACAAATCAACAGGAAGAAAGTCTTTCCCAGAGAGTTCCTAGTAACTGGAACATGAAAAAGAAATGAACATTCTCCTTATAAAGGGCCAATTTCTGAATTAGTGACCTCATTTGCTAAAGAGGTTTCTTTGTCACAGATATCTTGGTAGGTAAATACTGTGTTACACAGCCACTCTGTCCTTTGTAGCAATGGTACAAAGAAGGTCTCCCGGCATATACTGGTTCTCTCCTCACCAAATGAATATTTAAAAGAGTAGACAATAAAGGGAGCTTCTATAGGAGGTAAAGGCATTTGTATCATGATGTCAGACTGCTATATGTGCTCCCACAGGGCTGCACAGGAAGCACTTTTAGAATAAAAGTTAATGGTATTTATGGGGACCCACAGCCTGATCTATTTTACCTGTCTTGGGTATGTGCTTATGCACGCATCACCCAGGAGCATAATGCTTGTTGGACTAGCCTGTGTTAGAGACAGATACCATTTTGGTACCTTGTGAATAGTAATGTATTTGAAAGCCAGCAAAAATACATAAAAAAAAAAAAAGAAGGAAAGGAAGGATGTAAATCAAAACCTTCCCCTTTTTCATTCTGGATAGAGTATCCTTCATCTCATGCACTCCTAATTTCTGCATATCCATTTCGTGCCTGGGAGCTACAGAGCAAGTAAAAGATTTTCAGTTCGGGGCTTTCGGCATCTGCTTCTCGGGAGGAACATTTCAAATCGGCCAAACGCTCACCCTCCTCCTCCCCGCCCCCGGGCAAGAACTGAGGGGAAAAAAATAAAAACCGCCGTCTGCCACAGCGTTTCCTTTCTCCCTTTGGAGAGATGATCGCGCCCTCGGGGACCCGCGGCCGCCGCCGCAGAGCCCGCACCGCGCGCCCCGCACATCACCGCTGCCCGCAATGCCCCGCTCTCCCGCATGCCGCTCCCGCATCCCGCTCCCGCATCCCGCGCCCGCATCCCGCGCCCGCAACCCTGCCTGGCTCCGCAGCTGGCAAGTTTCGGGTGTCCCCCGCTTCGCATCCCCACCGTCGCATCCTCCCTTGCCGAGCCGCCGGAGCCGCTCATCTCCGCTCCTTCCTTCCCTTCCCTTCCCGGCTCCTCTGCTGCCCGCCGCCCGCAGCGCTCCCAACTCCACCAGAGCGGTCCTGCCGCGGCTTCCCCCGGGCTCCCCCGCTCGCCTGCGGGTCCCCCAAGCGGGGCTGGCGGCGTCCTTGGCCCCTCGGAGCAGGGAAGAGGAGCGGGTCCCATTCACAACTCGCCGCGGAGCGGGCACGGCGGCATCTTCAGCCTATAGCTCCAGCGGCAAGCGGCGGCTTGAATGAAGGCTCCGAGCTAGTGCAGGAATTAGAAAGAGGGAGGGAGGGGAAAGGGGCGAGGGAGGGAGAGGGAGCAAGGGGAGTGAAGCGAGATTAGAGGAAGGGAAAAGCTAGAGGCTGTTGCTTCGTCTCGATTTTCGTCTCCCTTCCCCCCAGCCCGCGGGGAGCGCAGCCCCCCGGCCCTGCCCTCCCACCGGGCCCCGCTCCTGGGGCTCCTCTGGTGCCCGCGGGGACAAGTTGGGGTTGAAGGGGCAAAGTAAGGGGTGGAAGGAGCCCAGAGCACCCTCTCCCTATGCCCAGTCAGGGGCAGGGTGTCCCCTCCCCAGGGGTCGGTTCTGACCCCTCTCAGTCACCCAGACACCCACGGGCACGGCTGCGGGGGGGCCGGGGACCCCCATCCTGTGCCGACGGGTTCCGGGAGGGATGCGCTGTCCCTGCCCTGTCCCTGCCCCGTCGCCTCTCTGCAGATGCCCAGGACCACCCCAGGGCGGCGGGGACGCCGCAGGTGGGCTGAGAGCCCCGGCAGAGCCCCGTGGAAATACCTGCGCGGGGGCTACCCCCGCCTCATGGCACCCAGAGAGGAGTAGTCTGGGCTGGACAGACAGCAGAAGCATTTTATACGGGATCCAGTCGTGTTTCCTGTCAGGATCAGACATTTGTCCAGAAATAAAAAAAGAAGGGGGAAAAAAAAGGGAAAAAAAAACCCAAAAAAGACAAAGTTCCCCGAGCATTTCTGACTGTGGATGAATCTCGGTCTGTTACAGCTCACAGCTAGAGGTGAGGTCAGGCCTCTGCCCTCCCGCTGGAGACGGAGGGGAGCACTTTCCTGACCCAGGGGCTGCCCCCTTACCCTTTCTGTTTTTCTTACCTACAGTGAAACCCCCAGGCACGATTCCCAGGTGGAGCTGAGCTCTATGAGCCCCGGGGGAAGCACCCTGAGCTGATGCACCCATTCAAACCCAGAGGCAGCACGCAGTCCCTCCTGCCATCCGGCACAGACACAGGTGAGCCTGCAAATCCCCTCTCACCCATCAGCTTCCCCCACAGTGCCCGGGACCTGGGTGCTCCCGGAGGGCTGTGAGTGCACCCAGTGCCATCTGTGTGGCTGTGGAGCAGCACAGAGCAGGGCAAGGAAGGATAGAACACGTGGCCCCTCCAGAATAAGGATTGTATTCGCTGTTGGAAACACCCCGGTACCTCTTTGTGAAGATAATCTGCCCATCCCCGGGCAAACCCAGCCCCCCAGGCTGCACTCACACTGCTCTGACCACACCACTCAGCCCCAGAGAAGGAGGCTTTTATATTCTGTGCTTAATTAGCTCTGCCAATAACTCCAGGCAAAGGAAAAAATTGGCACAAAAGCTGTCACTGTACAAACAAAGACTTTGAAAAGAAGAAAGCTGATAAACAATGCATCCTAAGGAGGCTGAGGGACACTGAACATAACACAATGGAGCAGCAAGCCATGGAATTGTTTAGGTTGCAAAAGTCCTCTAAGATCATCGAGTCCTACCATTTCTCCGGCACTGCCAAATCCACCACTAGCCCATGTCTCCAAGTGCCACATCTACATGTCTTTAAGTGATTGAGTCACCACTTCCCTGGACAAGCCCTTGACAACCCTTTAAGTGAAGAAATTTTCCCACATATCCAGTGTAAACCTCCCCTGGTGCAACCTCAGGCCATTTTCCTTTGTCCTGTCACTTGTTACTTGGGAGAAGACACTGACCCTGTCCTGGCTACGACTTCCTTCCAGGTAACTGTAAAGAACGAT